ATCTGTAGCTAATGAATGCATTTATCATCAGAGAAAGAGAAAGAAAGGTGAAGTTATTTTCAAACTAAACATGAGGGAAACTATGATCATGTAAGTTGGCCTTTTCTATCAAAGATTATGAGATAAATGAATTTAGGCGACTTGGGCAATTTTGGGGACTTGTTGCAATATCTTATCAACAACATTTGCAACTAATATGCAAACACAGATGGAGCACCACAATAAATGCAAGTGCTGTCTCTACATTTTGCCATTTTGGTAAGCAGTACTCAATACATAAAAGCCTCCAATTAGTCCTTACTAGCAGAACCAAAAATAAATGAAAATCAGAAATATTCTTGATCTAAGACTACAACTATGCATTTCCCAGGCACATTATTCACATGCCATATGAACATGAATAAATATCATATATTACCTATATAACAATTTACATTGCTAAAAAATATGGTAAAACCTAAATGACAATCTACATTGCTTGATTTCTGATCATTTATTCAATTTTGAAATTGAGTTTTTAGGTACGCGCTAACCCTCTTCCAATGGGGAATCATTGACCCATAAAACTGCACTTGCACTGATCTTTTTAGCCCCTCACGAGAAAATTCCAAGTCTCTGGCAATATCATAATCAACATTTTCTGGAGTTTCAAGCAGAGGCAATGCAACTGATCCATGGGACTCTAAGCTCCGTACCCATCCGCGGAGCAGAAAATTCACGACCTGTACATGTAAAATCGCCTTCACATGTCTCAACTTACACTAATAATAACTTACCCTATTCATTGTTCTCATTTGTATATCTCATGTTGTCCCAGAAAAAACTGTCACAATCAAGAATCAGTCCAGTGCCAACTTAAATATGTAAGCTATTTATCTTTGAAAGAATTACAAGCGCAGTTAAAACGACTTCATAAGCAGTCTCAGAATGTTAACCAAAGATGATGAGAAAATTTATTTACTGAGCTTTTCCTTGCATTACTAAGCAAGAACATGCATAAGCTCTTACAGTTGGCTATGATCCATGCACCAGTCAACGAACATAAAGCATAATGTAGGATGACTGAAGGGTCTGGGACAAGGATCTTTCAGGAAGACGACAAATTTACAGATTTTGTGGGTCTACGACAAGGCTCTTTCATGAAGGCAGGAGAAATTAACAGATTTGAGTGTCTGTGACATACCTCCGGAGCTTCATCATGGGGACAATGACCGGCAGGGCTAATCTCATAATATGGAGCTTCAGGCAATTGTCGTTTCACCTGTAAACCCCAAATAGGCTTCACCCATGGATCTTCTTTCCCATACACGAGACAGACAGGCACATTCTTCATTTGACACCTACGAAAATGTAGAAACTGGAAGCTTTGTAATCTTGTTTAGTAAAACAAGTGATAAATAAGCCAAGTGCAGCAATGTAATGCGTTGCTCTACCTACCCAGATAAAGCCTCTTCAAAAGAAACTTGTCCTCGAGGAGCAAACATTATTGAGGCAAAGGCTGCCGCTGCTGCAGGATGTTTTGTCGTCTCAAGTATCCGAGTGAAAACTTTATCAAACTTTGTGGTGTGATCAGCATAAACTTGTTTCAGTACGTTAGCAATAAATTCAGGACCACTAATTTTCTCCCATCTGAAAGCATAATAAAGCAGACACATACATTTAGGGTACAACAGAAGGCAAACTTTTGTTTTTCTTTAAGACAAGCCGTAAAACAATCCTAAAGACTTCAAAAGAATAACTCACATTATGTTAACCAAATATCCAATGACACCATGCATTTTGTTTCATGTAAGTTACAAAACGTAATAGACATATTAATTGAATAATATTAGTTGGTTTCTGTAGGTCTTAACTGAATTTAAGAAAACTAGTTAACCTGACTTAAAAAGACTCTCTACTTCAGGAGACAAGTTTACAGGCCTGAGGGAACTGCATAATAACATTCTTAAAAGAATCATATAACTTACACAAGTTCTGTGAGCATTCTGACAGAGGTGGGAAGAGGAAAGCTCCCAGTCCAGGGAAATACTCTAGATAATCTTGGGGATTTAACAGGATTCGGAAAAAATCCCCAAAATGGTGTTGCGTTCAGCAAAGTTACACCTTTAACCAAATGAGGATAACGTGCTGCGAAGTAAATGGCAACATACCCACCAAGAGAATTCCCCACAATGTAAACTGGCTCTTTAATAACCTGCACCATAACATCTGTTCGAGTTTATGTATTCCTCATGAGCTATAACTGATATAAATAAAGTTAAACCAACCAAAACTAAAAGACTTTGTCAGGAAAAGATATTTTTCCAAACAATTTTATTTAGCCAAAATAAGACGAAGCCTCTATAAAAGTCTATTTTCCTACTATCACAAAATAAATCAAAAGCAGTAAAGAGCACCAGCAAAACAGATATGACCACAGCAGAGTAATAGAATAGCAAGAAACTATACTCAAGGCAAATATACAAGACAGTAGAATAGCAACATGAGCAAACACACCAATAAAAAGTTTAATAGCCTGGCTGCAATCGACACATCTGCTTAGAGGTAGTTTACATTATAGCAAGCATTCAAACCAGGATACTTGACGCACATGAGAAATTCCTACTGATAGGCTGGGACCAACTAAAGCCTTTCTTATCTTTTCACATCCACATCAAATTATCCTGAGGTAATAGAAGGTGTGTTGGTAACATTTGGTAGCTCAAGTTACTTCATAAACTGATGATGTTAGTTTTACAACTGTAAGAAAGAACCAGAAATAACTTCTTGATGTTAGGTCGTGAAGCACAGAGGATGCACCTGAAGGAATAAGGAACTGCCTAACCTCAGACTAAAATCATTCTCGGTTCAATCATTTTCTAACTGTAACCGCAAAAAATCCGGTCATCACCATGCCAGCAAGCGTATAACTTCTTCCTGCCTTTCAGTCCAAAATCCAACAATTTTATGATAATTCATTTCTTGCTTGTCTGAACTAGTAGATAAATACAGTCAGAGAAAAGACAAAAAGGTTATTTTTTTATACCCCCCCCCCCCTTCCCGAGAGAGAGAGAGAGAGAGAGAGAGAGAGAGAGAGAGAGAGAGACTAGTGCCATGGAAGATAGAAGATAGCCTGGCACATATTATCATTTGATTGTCTACTGCATCAGGAAGAAGACACAATGTGATACATGAAAATGGAATCCTACTTAACAGAATTGATCAGTGTTTAAGAGCTGGGATTTTCTTTTCTTGGTCGGTTAAGAGCTGGGAAAACTCGTTGAAATTGTAACAAATAATTACTGGAAAAGTGCACCAAATTTAAACATCAAAGAAACAAATCCATGCCAACAAATTTTAATTCTAAATTCTTTACAAACATCGCAAATAGTGAAAAATATAAAGACACAAAGTACTACCTCTTCAATGAAAGAGTGCACTTGCTCCTTCCATAAGTCGATAGAGTAGACAAGTTCTTTTGCCCAGGGTTTTGCTTCATCTCCAAAGCCCCACACATCTCCGTCAAGTTGTTCCTTGGACGTCGAGGTCAGATCTTCACATGGTAATGACTTCCCCTGGCCGAGAAAATCTATTGCCCATATTCTGTGATCACGGCCAAGATCCTTTAGCTGTTTTTCATAGTGAAATGAACCAACACCAAAACCAGGAAGAAAAAGCACTGGCGGGGAATTAACATTTTCGCAACCTGATTTCTCATAATGAACATTCAATTTTGGCTTCCATTCCCAAAACCAACTGCTAATTGGAGCACCAAAATCACCTTTATTATCTTCATCTGGCAAACCAGGAATGATAACCTTGGGTACTGATTTGCCAGCACCAGTCACGTCTTGCTTACTCTCTTTTCCATCAACTACATAAGAGTTATAACTTTTACCCAAGGCACTTGAATCAGAATTCTCAAATTCCTTGAATGCATTGATAGGGCAAATAATTCTGCTCCGATTTGGTCCCTTTATGCTAAACTGATCTGCACCAGAATACCTGAGCGCTCCCCGAGAAGGCTTAAATAGAACATAACATATCCTTTCCTCTTTTAATATGGGAAAACTTGCCTGATTTGAACCTGGATATTTACCCGTTGCTTTCCCTCTAACGTTTACAACGTAATAAAATGATGTAGAATGGCAAGATATAATTTCCATTCCTGAATCAACTTTCTGAAATGAAAAGATTCAAATCAAGAAAATATCATAACTAGCAATTATGTTATTGTTAAACAGAAATGTAACATGTAGAGCACAAGTAATTCGATGCACAATACCAATTCACCAAACAAAAAAGGAATCAGCAATTCACTTGTTAAGGTAAGGCCCCAAAATACAATTCCCTTACTTCAGTTCTAGCATATCAATATCAGATTCTTTTGGAATGTATTTGTTGGTTTTCATCATTAGTGCTGAAAACGAGTAATATCAAATAGTCAGACCAGTGGTTGATGTAGCTTATTAGCTATGAGTTCAATCGAACCTAGTGTTTTGACACGGTATGAAAAATCACTAATTAGAAAATTAGATTCATTGGCTAATGGCTACAGCACCAGTTCTACCACTTCTTTTTTAAAAGTGAAGTTACTCTTCATACCATGTCATCACCAAAACAGAAAGAATAATGGCAGACCGATCTAAGGAAGTTAGAACTTAGGTCTTAGAAGCATATCCACAAATTCTTCAGTATCCAACAGAGTTTTGCATGTAGACGATAATTCAAACAAAAATCCAATTTTTTAGTAATGAAAAATGATAAATATACGAACAAGGAAGGAAAGAATATAATATTACCTCTAATCAGATATCATTAGCAGAAGCTCCAAAACAGTGGGAAAGATGGTTAAATATTTCCTATTTCTCTGCTGAGTAGAGAGAAAAAGAAAACGAGAATAATCATGAAAATGTGTAGTAGAATTTAACTCTTTCTTTCCCACTATAATTTGCTGCGTTTTGGTAATTCTTTCAGGCAGAAATTGGAATTAACGAAAAGGACAAGGAGTGAACGGAAGGATTTGGTTTAATGGTTTGCGCCACCACGTGTCTGGTGTTCATGGCTGCTGATTGGCGTTCCATATTTGTTCATGGGTTGGGGTTGGGCCACAGAAAATGGGATTTTAAAATGGCGTAATGGCTTTTTGGCCACTTAAATGTAAAAATAGCACGGTCTAGTCAGTTTTCGGACTGGTCATCCAAAAATAGCCAGCGTTTACCAAGTCAATAAAAAATAACCACTATTTTGCTGCAACAGAGACTGCTCCACCATAATATACTGGAGTTCGGTGCACCTGTGTATGAACTTCCAGCATATTATGCTGGAACTCCAACACACGGATAGTTCCAGCATAATATACTGGAGATTAGAGCACTTGTGTATGAACTTCCAGCATATTATACTGGACCGGTATACTTGCTGGAACTCCAGTATATTATGCTGGAGTTCTAGTGTACTTATGCTGGAACTCCATCATATTATGCTGGAGTTCCAGCATACTTATCCTGGAACTCCAGTAATATGCTGGAGTTCAAGTATACTTATGCTGGAACTCCAGCATAATATACTGGCATATTTTTCGGGTTTTGAACAGTATTTTCGCTCAGATTTATCTTTACATGAAAAATGGCTAAATTTCGATTACTTTTGAAAACGGGCTATTTTTGAACGACCACTTGTAAATCTGGCTATTTTTGAATTTCTCCCCACTTAAACTTGTAGGACTTTTAAAAGTTGATACATGAACTTGCACTTTTCCATTTGAACACTCCAACTTGATGCAATAAATACTAATAAACACATTTGACCGTTGACTATGCCTATGTGGAAGCGACACAGCTGACATGGCTAAATTGTGTGCAAATCACGCTACAAAGGCGCATGGATAGTATTATTTTTATTAAAAAAGAAAAAGAAAAAGAAAAAAGAGACCTTTCCCTTTCCCCTTCTATTTTCCCTTCCTCTTCCCTACCAAACTCCCACCTCCCCTTTCCCCCTCCCCCTTCTATTCTACCATAGTCACTTCTAGCAAACATAGAACACAACCCAAACAAAGAAAAAAGCTTAGAACCTTAGCACACCCCTAACGCACTCGCGTAACTCCTTCCAAGATATCAACACCAAACTCCAATAACCATGGGAAGTAAAGGTGATCTCAAGACCAACAACGTTACCAATCAGAGAAAACCCAGATTTCTTTGTCTTCATGGGTCTCGAACCAGTGGCCAAATTCTTAAGATACAAGTCTTTGAAAAATGGCCAACTCAAGTTGTAGAAAAATTGGATCTTGTTTTTGTTGATGCACCTTTTCCTTGTCAAGGCAAATCTGAAGTTGAGGGTATTTTTGATCCTCCTTATTACGAATGGTTCCAATTCAACAAGGTCGTTTATTTTATTTTCTTTCTTTATCTTTACAGTTGCAGGCTTAGGAATTCCTATATTTTACTTTCAATGAAAATGAAATTTTATTTACTTAATTGTGATTGATTTTTTATATAGGAATTTACGGAGTATCAGAATTTTGATAAATGTCTTGCATATATCAGTATTCGATTGAACTTCAGTCTCCATTATCGGAGCTAATGCTTACAGTCTCTATTTTGGAGCTTTTGTTTACAGTTCGTGCCTAGGAGGTGAAGAACAAAAGAAGGGAAAGAGAAGAAAAAATAGAAATTTAATAAATTAATTTTGGAAAAGGACAGGGCCCACAAATTGGGACCTTGAACATACAGATGTCAACAAAATGTGAATGAATGGATGATGTGGCTATATAAAATATAAAATTAAATCCATGTCAGCAGCAATTGAACAACACACACCATCGCAAGTGTTTATTAGTAGTCATTTTTTCAAGTAAAAGTGTTCAAATGGGAAACTCGAGAGTTCATATATTAGCTTTACAAACTGATGCAAGTTTAAGTGGCCAGGAAGCTATTTCGCCTTTTAAAAATAACAAAAATGATTCTGTTAAGAAATTAAGCTCAAAGTGATAATATGGAACATAAAATAGATAATTAAATAGATATAGAGAGGAAGAGAGAACTTTCTTCTTATTTCAAGTATGTAATCCATGAGCCAAAAGTGCTCTAGTTATAGTCACAAAGGTCCATCCTCAAAAACAAAGAATGAAGTTACATATTAAATAGATACATATGAATACAAGTGATTCGTATATGTGATGTAAGAATTAAATGGACAACCACTTTAGTTCGTCGTATTCATAACGCTCCCTCTTTGATATTCATTTAAAAGATAATGTGCCTTATTAAAAACTTACTAGTAAAAATCCAGTGGGAAAAAGTCTAATAATGAAAGAAAATACACATATCTTGTAACACGCATTGAGTGCCGCCTTATTAAAAACCTTATTAAGAAAATCCAATTGGGACAAAATCCTAGTTAAGGAAAAAAGAGTACAAATTATACTCCCTCTGATGAAAACCTTATTTGATATCTCGGAGATGATGCGTTCCAATTTTATGTCTTAGCTTCTCAAGTGTTGATGTTGGGAATGCCTTAATGAATAAATCTGCCAGAATATCTTAATGAACGGAGTTGTTAAACATCTATCTTACCATTCCTTTGAAGATCATGCGTGAAAAAGAACTTTAGTGAAATCTGCTTTGTTTTGTCTCCTTTTTTCTTTCGAGGATTTTTATCTTTGGAACCGATTGGTTTACCACGTTTCAAGCGTAGCTTAGACTCATTTACATTTATAGATTGTCCAACCGGGACATCAATTTGAATATGAGCATTAATAGCTGGAATATGTAACTTAGTCATCCTTGGTAGGTCAGTTAATTCATCTAGCAGTTGATTTGAAATATTTTACAAATCTTTTGAACCTCATGTTCACATTGATTTGTTCAAGGATCTAAAATAAGATAGTGATAACGCATTCCAGTCTATCTCTTTTTCCAACTGCTTATTTCTCTCCCTAATGTTGGGGATACTACCATATATCCCTAACCTTCTTTGGAGACTCATCTTTGTGCATAGTGGCGGAGCAATTAGAACATATACCGCACATCCAAATATTCTAAGATGGAAGATATTTGGCTCTTGACCAAAAGTTAATTATAATTGAGAGACTTTATGATACCTATGGGCCTTATCCGCACAAGAGCTACTGTATACAAAATAGCATGACCCCATGCCGAGATAAGAAATTTTGTTATCATAAGCATCAATCTAGCAATTAATTAGAGGCGTTTGATAAATGATTCCGCAAGACCATTTTGAGTATGAACATGAGCAATTGGATGCTCAATTGTTATCCCAGTTGTTAGACAATAATCATTAAAGGCCCGAGACGTAAACTCACTAGCATTATCAAGACGGAGTGTCTTGATTGCATAATCTGAAAACTGTGCTCTTAATTTTATTAATTGAGCTAGTAACCTCGAAAAAACCAAATTGCGGTATGATAACAAGCACACATGTGACTATCTTGTAGGTGCATCTATCAAAATAGTATAATATTCAAATGGTCCATATTGAGAGTGTATGATACGTTCCAAAAATACGGGGGAGAAATTCATAAATAGCCAAATTTACAAGTGATCATTCAAAAATAGCCACAGATTTAAAAGTAATCGAAATTTAGCCACTTTTCATGTAAAGATAAATCTGAACAAAAATACTATTCAAAATCCGAAAAATACTCCAACATAATATACTGGAATTCCAGAATAATATACTGGAACTCCAGTATATTATACTGGACTTCCAGCATAATATACTGGAACTCCAGCATAATATACTGGAGTTCCAGTATAATTTACCAGTCCAGCAGAATATGCTGGAAGTTCATACATACTGTTACAACCCAAACCGATGGGCCACAACGGGCACCCAGTACCTTACTCAACCGAGTACTTACGTAACATATCTTTCGTATCATACTATCATAGGGAAATGAGCCAGAGAGGCTATCGTGTGATAAGTACAATAAAATATGGAGAAATACTCGTCATTGGACGATCCAACATGTAACCCAAACTTATACATATGACGTACGGGCCTATAAGGCCGGCATGATCCTTTATATACTCAAAACATAGGCCGACAAGGCCATATAAGTATCCGTATACATGATATCTATCTACAAGCCTCTAAGAATACGTAATATCATAAAGGTCGGGACAGAGTCCCGCCATACCAAACAATACACGTCTAAATCATACTAACCAAACAAGCAACTCCAAAGCAAATGGAGCGCACCAACATCTCCCGCTGAGCTGATAGCTTACTTGGAGGGCTCTCGACCTGTTTATTGGGACCTGCGGGCATGAAACGCAGCGTCCCCAGGCAAAAGGAACGTCAGTACGAATAATGTACCGAGTAAGTAAGGCACATAAATAAGTACATAGCAGACATGGAAGAAATATAGAGTAAATGACTCAACCTGTAAGTATGGATAACTCTGTAAATCATTAAATAATTATAGTGTCATGCATATGCGTATGAATGTCATGTCGTGCATAGGTACATGTTTCATAACATCATCAGGCCTCTGAGGGCATCCCATCATATCATCTCGGCCACTGTGGGCAAAATCATCAACGTATACCAGTTGATCAGGTTGTTGTGCGTATATAACGCCATAACCTTTCCCATATCCCATATACATATATATACATATATATGCGTATATAATGCCATCTGGTCATGGGTCAATGTGCATGTATAAATGCATGAAATGCATATGAAAGATATTAATAAAATCTCTCGGTACGTCATAAGACCATTATGCCTATGATTAATATCATAAAATAAACTTTACCAACTTATGTATTTTTGAGACCCATGAACAGATGATAAAATAATATGACACATGGAGAATCAAGAACATAAGCATCTATAGTATTTCTATGAATAGAGTCATTTATGGAAGTTGTGCATTTGCTCGTTTCGTTCGTGTCGTATAGATCATGCCAAAAAGAAAGAAGGGATAGCCTTAACATACCTGAGCTGATTCTCTTGATAATCTCTCTAACACACGTCAATTGCGACAACACGTAACAAGTCGTATGAAAAGTTTGAAGCAACAACATTGCTATGCAACGATAATGTTGGCTGAAATTTTTCCTTAAAGGATTTGGTAGTAACGTTTTGCATTAGGAAGTCTTGGTGGAAGCTCTTTCTTAAGAGATGGAAAATAATATTACTATGTAAGGAATTGGCTGAAAACACTTAGCAAAAACGTTACTTTTCCTGAATCCTTTCTTAAGAGATTCCAAATTTTATCCTTACTTTAAGGTAGACCCACATAACTAATGACTAAGCCACATAATAAACTTAAGTTTGACACCTCTCAATCCCAGTCATTAAGTTGTCTTTAAAGGGCTGCCACGTTTGGAGATGTAACACTTATCCAATATTTGGATTAATTATCTACTAATCACTTGATTAACTTGTTAATCTCCCATTATACAATAATTAATCAATTACCCACATAATTAGGAATTATCTCAAATCACTTAAAATACTACTCACTTTTAACATACTTTATACACCTTACTATCATGGTAATGTGGTACCTTGCATGGTACTAGTCCATAAATACCGGGTATTAACGCTCGGTCCGTATTTTATCTCAACATGCCAAACTTGGACGAAGATTCATTTTCTTTGACTTGCTTCCCCTCTCACCTTCACGAATTTACTCATCACTTGTTTGAAATAGCATAATCCTTATAATCTCCAAATAATCTTTTCCTTGGACTGATGTCAATTACCTTACGACAAATTCAACATACAATACTACAAGGTGCAACATTGTCGTAATTTAATACTACGAAGCGTAATATCATCGTAATGTAATACTGCAGGATGTAACATCATCGTAATATAACACTACGGGACGTAATATCGACATAATATTGCGGGGCGTAACATCAATCCCCCATTTGGAACCTTCGTCCTCGAATGTTGACTGATGCTCTTATTATTTCCATAACTTATAGCTCTTGTGAATACCTTAATACTCTCCTTGCCATTTAGGCAACCGGTTTTTGAATAAATCCAATGGCCAGGGCATTCCCCCCTTTAGGCCTCTTTCGCACACCACGGTCTGGGGTCGGAATTCTTCCAATCTCGTAACTCTTGCTATCTTTTGTCATGCAGCCTGTACGACTTTTTCTTTGTATGTCCGCCTATGAGACTCTTCTCTCCTTTTTTCTCCAGTTTTAGCCAATCTCTAGGCTTTACTTTGTAAGCATATACAGAGCTTGATAAGATGTCTCTCTTGGCCTCTATAGGTATACTGAAGTTCTTTGCTCGATACTTTGTTGAACTAACGAATATTACTATATCTTATTTCATAGACCCAGTTATCCATTCGTATGACTTTACTGCATCTAGGTAGGTCATACTATACCATAACTCTTACTTCGATTTATCGTTACTAAGGTCTGCTATCGAACTCCGAGTTACTTTCGTTGCTTATCCGATATGTATAAATCTAAGTCCTTTAATGCTTCCTTATTACTGTTCCTCTTATGAATGACGGCCTAATCTCATCTCATACTTTGTGACTTTGTCCATCCATTGTTGATTCACCTCAATATGGATCTACAATA